AAAAGATTGTAGAGAAAAGAGTGGAATGGAGAGGTGTTACTGAAGCCTTAATGTCCCACTAGGAACCCAAGGGACTAATAATATGATAATAACGTTTATGAATAGGAATTCAGTAGTCAGACAAGTTCAAAAGTTAGACGCAGTAAAAAAAAATAAGAGTTCATAGTACAGAACATAAGAAAATGAAGTGTTGAAAAAGTGAATAATAGGCAATGTAAATATACAATTCCACTATCTATTTCTACTCTATTCATATTTCAATAAAGTAAAGTAGATTTTTTTTTCAAACTTTAATGAAAACTTGATTGCCTATTATAAATACATCATACTTCATCATAACTCTATAGCTTTTGAAAACTGAAATGTTGAAACTAGTGTCAGATGTTCATCTTGTTTTGCGAATATAAAATAAGTATGATTTACTATTTGGGAACATTACTGTTTTAAAGTAATCAAAACTGCGAAATTCTGGTTCAGATTACACTTCAATGGACTACTTTCTATACATCCAAAAAATTTTGCAGCAGCGTTACCATTTATGAAGAATTATCATCTGAATTCATGGTAACTAGTGATATTCTTCACGGATTCCTACTGTCACCATTCCTGTTCAACTTCGTTAGAAATGTACTAATGAACCTAACGTTTGATAGGATTAATGTATACCCTAGAGGGTGTCTAGTTGGCTTGAAGTACGCAGATGATATTGTCCAACTAGGTGAGCATGTTGACGAAATCTAGGGTCTTCTGAACATGTTGAACAGAAATCTGAGTACGTTTGGCATGCGCCTCGTTGCCACGTGTCAAATGTAATATGATGTTCTAGAACTGGTCTGCAACGACTTCTAGCCTAATGATAGGGAGTGAAGTGATAGAATGTGTCGACCACTTCACTTATTCTGGAAGTTGCATCAGCTCAAACAGGTTGGTTGATTACAAAATCTCAGATCACATACAGAACGTCCGTCCGGTCTTTCCCGACATTCTTCAATTCTGGCACAAACTTATGAGATATCTAGTTATCTATCAAAACGTGAGTATACTCCACTTCAGTCCGTTCCGTCCCGTTATAAGGCTCCAAGACATAGACGTTGAAAGTAGGTGATATGAGGAGACCACAGAGTTTTGATCATAGGTGTCCTTGCAGAACTGCTCGAGTGCCTAGACCAATAAGCCATAATTGATTTTTATGAAGTCATAAAACGTCAAAATTTTATTTTTGTACTTCATTCGAATTTTACAAAATTTATTTCATTTATAATTCCATTTACCCAATGCTTAACTTATTCAACTTTATTAGGTCAAATTTTGGTCCCAAAGTTTACAAAATCACTCACTACATCATAGTTTCGAATTCAATTCCACTAACGAGAATTTAATTACAACCAGGCAGTAGAGCAGTAAGTATAACTCAAATTCCAGTGCAAAAATTGATGTATAGTTTACTGTATAAGTTTATTACTGCAGTTCACTATTCATTTAAAAGTTATCCTTATCTCGTTACATCTTAGCACCGAAGTATACTTACTTCATAGTGACTTTCCTTATCACATGACCAACTTGTGTACGATAACATCTTCTTCTTTTCCTAGTAACCATACCTTTAAAGCTCCTATTCAAATAACCAATTAAGTGATTCAGGGGAAATACCAATACTACTACTAATCATAATCATAATAATAATAATAACGGAATGTTTACATCTTAAGAAATATAAGAAATACCAACAAGTAAACACCACAACACTGGAAAATCACTAAATGTTCATTTGTGTTTATAAATATTAATTCAAACTAGTAATTAAGCCTGTTATTATTATCCCTTAAAAAGAAAACTAGATGATCACAATCTTAGATCTAGTAATCAGCTACTATTATCACTATTATTATTATTATTGCAACAAGTACGGGTGTACACATTGTTGTAAGAACAATAACTATTATCACTGCCACAATATCATCAATATAATATGATGATTACGATGATGAATACAATTGCATCACGTTTATGTAATAAGAATCAGAAAAAGTTCAGCTACAACCTATCATCTGAAAAGGCTGAGCTGGGATGTACAGAAGTAATAAGAGAAAAATAAAGACATCGAGAGCAGAGGAGTAAAATTGTAGGTGTACACCTACAAGTATGCGTCTGCAGGTATATATATATATATATATATATATATATATATATATATATATATATATGACCTGCCACTTATCCCAACAACAATCATATCAGTGGACTAGATAAGTGTCAGCAGAAAAGAAGCAATTAAAATGTCATCTGATAATTTTATGAAAAATGACTAGAATACATATTATATAACATATTTCGAGGTTAATAGGGATTTTAGTTTTGAGGTAGTATTCATAATGGACTGACAACAGTTGGAGAAACAGTGAAAACCTGGGAGCATTGGACAGCAGTTTCGTCGTAAAAATCAAATCTCCATGAACGTCAAAATACATCACTGTATGGTGCACATTACTGGGATGCTTCGAGATGAATATCTCGAAGCTCCAATAATAAGAAGCGTAACCTGTGGGGTCAGCCATTTGGACGAGAAGCGGATGCCAAATGAAGCCCTTGGAAGATAGTCCAGCTATATCGCGAAGTGACAGAAGTAGGAAATTGTAGACTACTGAATTCTAACCTACTGGTTGGATGATCCTGGGTTCGAGCTCTGGTGCGGCAGGGTCATGGGTGTACTGCTGAGGAGTCCAATATTAGGACGAAACAACTGTCCAGTGCTTCTAGGTTTTCAATGGTTGTCTAACTGATATTAGTCTGTAAAAAGCTTTTCATGTATTAGTAGACCAAAATTAGAACTTTAGTTTTTCATTCATAATCATTAAATGTATACTTACAAGTTTACTTTAGAGTTGTTTTGATCACACTGTTTCAACCATCTTTATATGTATCAAACAAACTACTTGGTTTAATTATTACTTGTTACTTTGCTATGATTTATACAAAAAGAATAAATTTAAACATAAAAATAACAATTACTTTATACGTAGTAGTAACGTATAATGAACTTCAATCACATTTTGTTGGCTTTATTGATATCAATGCTGGCGCCAAGTTACAAATTGTCGTCTAAACATTTTCACTTAAAAAGAAAAAAATTCAAGACGGAATTTTTTGACTGTGTTGCACCTACATGAGAATTTTACAAACACTTTTCTTAGATCCAGACAACCCTATAACGTATACTTAGAGACATATAACCATAACCACCACCACCACCACCACCACCATATATAAAAGTTGTTAGTGAGTAAAGATAAATGTAGTTGATGAAAAATGGAAAACGGTTGTCTTGTGCCATAGAATAACTGAAGTTAAATTGGACGGATTATTGAGCTCTCATACCTGCATCGAAACATCCTTATTTTCCAAAAAAAAGTAATCGAAAGTGTAGTGAACTATGCTAAAATAAAATTTTCTCCAGTTTCTGAGTGACATGCTCCCTCTAAATTGGCAAAAAGAATTATCTTATACTTACAAAATGCTTACTTATCACTGTACATCATTACATCAACTTTTGTTTCTTCTGCTTTTCAATAAGCTGAGTTATGAGGTCAACTAAGTCGAGTGTATGGAACAATACGCATTGATAGCATTGGGTGATAGCACCATCATATCACGAACTGACAAAAGTAGGAAAATGTGGACCACTGATTTCTATTGGTGAACATGCTCGTAACAAGGTCTGAGAGCTCTGGGTTCGAGTCTCGAAATTGGAAGTGTTAGGTATAAAAGTCGTTATGATAGCATATACTAAAGTGTGTTAAGGCTATTAACGACTATTATATCTACTGAAGGTATGGAGATCTGTTTTAGACAGTCTATATTCCCTTACCCGCATATATACCAACCTGGAGGCACCTCCTCCTACATATACTGTATCACATCCAATACATTTAATATTATAAACACCGTGCTGCTGATCTTTAGTCACTATCGCATCTTTTATCTTCATCAAGATGGAGTGCTAAGTACTCGCAGAATATCTTTAATTGTTATTCTTCAAGATTCTTTTTACAAACCCCAAGTGAAACATTAATGACTATGTTGTAGGATAAATCTTTTTAACTTTTCATGTGCAAGAAATCGGTAAAAAAAAATCAATCACTTAACAGTAAAACAAGGATTTGATTATGTCATTTTGTCTTGTAAACAATTAGCGTCAAAGAAGAATAAACAAATTGGTGGTTTACAATGAAGTGAACTCCAAAACTTCAACCAAGGTAAGACAATTTTCCAACAAAGTAGATAAAGAATAAATATTCGAACAAACAGTTAGTTTAGTGCAATGATGCGGACATAAATGTCATAGAAACGATATTAGTTGAAATTCTTGTCCATCAGGTCCTGGGTTCGATCCTTGGGGGGGGGTTTTGGGTATTCACTTTTAGGGCTGTGACTCACTAGTTTAGGGAGATAACTTTCAACTACGGGTGACAAGTCCAAACCCTACTCCATCTACCCAGGTTTAGGCAGTCGGGCAGTATTACTAGCCCTCACATAATAGGTGTAGTTCACCGCCTACTGCACGAATGTGCAAAACATTGCTGAGTGCATTTCGATTCCGTTTCATTCATCAAGTAAGATGAACCCTAGTTCCGGAGATATTAATTCTCCGAAACGATAATACTAAGAAATACCTTAATCGTCGAAGCCAATTCGCAAGTTTCACTCAACCAAAAAGAAAATTTTACAGCCAAATTATTACTAATCCATAACATAGTAAAAAGATGATATAATACGCAGTTGCCAAACAGTAACATCACAATCTAGATAACTAAGAAATTATAAAAACAGGAAGTAATGAAATCAAAACTTTTCCACTTGTGGGAAACAATATATTAAAAAAAAGAGAAGTTCAGTGGAGATATCTTTTCAGGAATTTCATTTTTCGATGTGAACCAAAATGATTTAAAAAAGATGGCGGAAGAAAAACAGAATATTATTCATACAAAAAAGTTATAACTTACGTAGCTTCTTTGAAAAGTGAAGGATCACTTCGAGAATGTCCATTGGTACTTCCATTTCTAGTTTGATTTATGGTATTGTTTTGATTATTATTATTATTATTATTACAGATGGAATTCACATTTTCATGATTATGTATTGATGAAGTTCGAGGTGTTGATGAAATGGAGTCATGAACACTATCACCACCACCGCTATTACCACTTAATTTAGCCATAGTAAGAGCATAAAATTCCATAAAACGTGGATCACTGAACAACTGGTTAGCAGTCTCAGAATCAATACCCATGAATTGTTTCAGTAAATTTTGATGTGACAAAAATGGATTTGAGCATAAGGACGATGACACCAGTTGTAGTGGTAACTGTGGTGATGATATTGACTGAAATTGATTAAGTTGTGAATTATGACATAAAGGGCCGAATAATTCCCTTGGTGGTTTATAAACATGACCTGGGAGAGTACTGACAGAAGGGTTATGAGAGAACGGTGGTATCATATTAACCATGTCTTCCCGGTTTTTTATCTTGTTCTTTTGAAAATCATGATTAGATGGAATTTGTTGACCACATGACAATGAAGGATATTTTAAGACACTATCATGTACTTCCTCAGGAATACGATTTGCTGAGTTAACTCCTCCTTTAAGCATATCATTACTTGCTAAATGTGAAGACATGCTACTATTAATATTATTATTTGAGTTGGAGCACCGGTTTGTGTGAATATAATATTCAGGTTTGGAATGTACAACAGACTTATCATAGTCATTATGACTTTTCGAATACTTATTGTGTGTACATACATCACGTTGTTCCGATTTCCTGTAGGTTCGTTTCTTAGTGCTTGTGCATTTTGGAGATTTTGAAAGAACAACCTGTGGTTTATGTTCATTTGAATCTGGGGAATATGTGACTTCATCAGTTAAAGCAGCTACGCTGAATAAATGACGATGTGACTTACTGACAGGCTCAGATAGTTTACCGTTATCAGGGATAGAAGTTGTAGTGGTCATTTTACCATTATGGGAATCCCAGTTGTTGGCTAAAAAAATAAATAAAACACACAGAAAAATAAAAACATAATGAAATGGTAATAAGCTAGCTTAAAAAATTTTTTACTACATTTTAATCAAAACTGATTGTCATTTCAGGTATTTCATGTCTACGAAGTCCACTGTTACATACAAGTAAACCAATTAAAAGTGGAATTAACTTCCTTATGAAGTTAATACTTAGGATGTCATCAATCTTAATGATGAAACATCCACAACAAAATACCAGAGTTTAGAGAACACTAAATCATAATCATCTTCATCCTAACGAACGAATCTTTCCGATTATTTCAAAGTGTTTTTTAATAAACGGTCAACTAAATCACTATGGTCATTCACTTTAAAGCTAATCGGTAGAAAAACCTGCACTTGATCATCGTCAACAGCATGTAACATTTACCTCGAATAAAAAGTACATTGTATGCGATACTGGGGTCCAAACTGTACAAAGCCACAGTTAGTAAGGTCACCACTGATCCACTTAAGTTTCGACTGAGTTCTGATAAATTGAGATCACAATTAAGAACCGATCACGAGGTAGTGATCTGCAAATAAGTGACAGTTAATAAGACACATAATTGTGTTGTACAGGTCAGGTTAGATTTCAAGTGATGCAACTTATTCAGTAGGATTTCATTAGCATGAATGGCAGCAGAAATTAGTCTTTGACAGACAATCATCGACCGACTAAACGTTATTACCACAATACTGCCAAAACAGATAACAGAAAATCGTGAGAAATTGACATACTCTTTCGGTGCGCGCATATATATATATATATATATATATATATATATATATATATATATATATATATAGAGAGAGAGAGAGAGAGAGAGAGAGAGGTTTACGGTGATTTCGCTTTTAAGGTAATATTCACCATGGACTGACATCAGTTGGAGAACCACTGAAACCTGTGAGCATTGGAGAGCTGTCTCATCCTGGTACAGGAATTTTCATTAGTATGTAACCACGACCACCCTGCAGATAGAACTCAGGACTCCTAGGTATTGTAGTTAGTGTACTCACCATTGGGCCAATGGATCGAAGTTCAATAGTAAATACTTTCCTAATCCTATCAATTCACCATATAGTCAATGCCATTATCATCTAAAGTCGTCGATTAGTATCCCCCTCTCTTGGATGATGGTCATGCTATATCATAAACTGATAGAAGTAGGAAACTATGGGTCATTGAACTCTAACCCCGTGGATCAATGATTAAGGCCCTGAGTTTGATCCCTGGAGTGATGGGGTTATGGGTTCGTACTGCTGAGGAGTCCCATACAAAGACAAAACAGCTTTCCAGTACTTCCAGGAGTTTAGCGGTTCTTCAACTGATGTCAATCCGTGATAGAAGCTACCTTAAAATTAAAATCCTCATTAACCTCAGTATATATATATATATATATATATATATATATATATATATATAAACTGCATAGTAACACCTTAAACAGCCTAAATATATTCGAAGAGAGGAAATGTGAAAAATTTTCCGTAGCTTTTCGGTTGTTTTCAAACGAACAAGGCTCAAGGTTGAGTCTTAAATAAATTAACAAAGATTTCGATAAAATAGGCATAAACATTTACATCCCCTTTTAAAATAAAAATAAAAAGGAAGTTAGCAATAGCAAAATACACAAACTTGTCTATTTGATATTTCCATTCAAACAGAAAGTGGATAACAAAAAGTAAGGGTAGTGTGAATAATAAGAACTATTATGATTAAAACTGTTAATATTGAGCTAATTTTGATTCTAATTAGAAAAACTTTCCTTCCGCCACTAATAGTACTCATTTTATCAGAAAATAAACAAGAAGAGGATAGTAACATGATACAATATAATTCGCGTATCTAATCCAGTTGAATAATGGTTTGAATAACTTAGTGGTTAATTCACATCATGGATTCAGTGACTTCTTCGCTCGCTGATATAAATATCAACCATAGACAGGATCTATATGACTCGCTTGACAATACAATATCCAGCTCTTTGTAGCTGACTGACTGACTATAAACTAGATCCCAGTAGTTCAAAACTGAGTCACAGTTCTTGCATTCATATGCTCGTACGATATTGATAGAAAGATAACAACCAACAGAAAACAACTAACACCTTACGAATAGCAAGTATGGATAAATAAAATTAACACGAACAAACGAAAATTAAATTTATCCAGCAACCTTGTGTATATTCGTGCGATTGGTAATAAGACACACCCTTCATGTAAGAGCAAATGATACTACTTGACTGTTCAAAACTTGGTAGATGGAGAGGTGTCAGAACCCTTGACTCACTAGTTGAAAATCAATTCTCTTAACTAATGAGCCACAGGTTGGCATACATGATCAGTATTTTTGCGTTGACCAAACAGACAGATAATATCTACATAGGATCTGGGATATAAACACCAAAATTCTGTTAGTATCTAACTTTTTTTTTGATTTCCTTCAAATATATTTTATTAAATCGATAAACAACTTGGATTTTGAGACGAAAGAATAGCGCTGCGAATAATTTAGGCAATGCTTTTAGTAGACTATTGAAATATTGAAGTTCAGACCTGTTTAGTTCCAGGTCCTACTGACCTAGCTGTTGTTATTCTTTTTTTTTCGGAGAGTATAACAAACTTTCCTTCTGTTATATTTACTCTCCACCATACTGATAACCATTTGAATTTACCATACAAAACTCTCGATTTTCTGAAAAAGTGACTTAAACACTTTTTGTTCAGATTTTAACCTACCATAAAATGTAAATATATGTATTGTAAAAAGTAGGGTAGTTAAAATCATATATTTTTTCGATTAATTTCACACTTACATCTTTCATCTACATCTATTCATATTCATGAAAATAAGAAGGGTATCTTATAAAATTGCATCAAATAACTGGATTAGAATCGATTTACACCACGACTACTCTTAGAGAAATCATTTGGAATACAATAAGAATACGAATAGAGACAAAGAGAGGAAAAGTGGATATTTTCAAACCAATAAAGGCAATTGCAATTCATTTGAACAAGGGTTTTCTGTCACAGATTTACACCCTCTTATTTACCGCGATAAGCATTCTACACCTCAGTACATATCAAAGAGTAACACTTACTAATTCAGACGCTGGAGTAATCATTGGATAGGGTCACTCTGAGACTTCCTCTACTCTGCCTCCATTCGGACCATGCAGACAGTGATATGTAGTGCATAGTGAATTCCAAAGACACCGTATTAAACGAAGGTTCACCGATTCATAATAAGCTGCACTACTAACACTTACCATCTTAATCCTATGCGTAGTTAATGATTTGGTGATTGGATGCAGTGTGTACAAACACAAGGATATTCACAAAGCGAGCGTCATGGATTTCACAAGACACCACAGCACACTCAAAATCAGATCCACTTCATCCCAATGTTAACAAAGTTGACACAAAGCCAGCCTACTCGACACAAGATCACCATGAGTAGCAGATGTAGGTACACACCACTCACTATCTAGTGCAAGCAACCTACAAGCAAAATCAAGTTGAAAGCCTTCACAGAAACCAGTGATAGGCCACAGTTCAAGTCCAACAACCACAACAAATACTGAAGGACAAAACTTCAAAGGACATCTTCACACCAATCAGCTATCACGGAAAAATTAGAGATATTAAGAAACATCCCTGATGGAACCTGAGTGTAAGAACACTAGAACTCTCTGAAACAGATGTGGCAGGAAATATGCACAACCGTGTTACGAAGGAACAAGAAGAAGAAGCAACACAAGGAATGGATCTCGACGGACACGTGGTAGCAGATAGGGGAGAGGAGAGGAAGATGGTGAAGCAGAAAATGAACAAATGCAGTGCATTGCAGGGATGAACAACAGAAACAGGAACTCAACACAACCTATAAAACACTACACTGAACAAAGAAGTGCAGACGAGTGCGCGCAAAGACAAAACATACTTCAAATGAAGCAGGACACGTCGCTCGTAGAAAAGTAGGAGGCCTGACAACATTATATCAAATAACCAGGTTACCATCCCCTACAGAACAGATCAACCTAGATGAAACCAATGACAAACAGTAAAGGAAGCCTACTAACCAAAAAGGAGAAACAAAGGAAACAATGGGCTCACAAACTCAGAAAACTCTTCAATCGAACATTATCAATATCACCTGCAACTCGTCCACAGATACCACTACCGACCACAGAATTACCAGTAAACAAAACTTATCCGAAAAAAGCCAAAGTCATGAACCCTATCAACTTGCTGAAATACGAGAAAGCCACAAAAACAGATAGAATTCCACCAGAAGCAACGAAAACATACGCAGGGACAACACAAACAAACATGCTCACACCATCACTCCACAAGCTTCGCTACGAAGCAACGAAGGAAATGTACCTCCCCATTGATTGCAACAAGGGCTTCCTTCTCAAACTCCCAAACAACAGACACCACAGTCCTTGCAAGAACTCCCACGCAATCATACACCACTCCTCTCCACCCAAAACAAAAACAAACAAAATATTAAGCCACATCATACTAGAGAGATTGAAAAATACTCTGCATTCAAAGTTACAACCGAAACAAGCTGTTTCGCTAGCTTCAGGAAAAACAAATCATACGCGCATCAAACTCCAACACTACACTAAGCATCATCAGAAAACAGAACATAGAATTCAAGTCAACTCTTCACCTTACCTCAACTTCATCGACTGTCAAAACGCCTTCAACAGAGTCGACTGAGAAGTAATTTGGAAGGCAGTTCCCTCAACACTACCCTTTCAGTGCCACAAAACTTCATCAACTTCATTCAATAGCTATATGCTCTATCATCCTACATACCAAGTGATTTACAACACAATGCAAAGCTCAGTGACGCCTTTGAAGTGAAGACAGGAGTAAGACAAGGCTGCCACCTACTATCACCCATGATCTTCATGACTATGGTCAACTCGACTAGACTGGACTGGATCATGCAACAAATTGTGAGAAGAGAGGCATACTCTGTTTGACCGACGAAAAGACCATAGAAGATCTTGACTTCGTCCATGATGATGATTTGTGTCTAGTGTCTTGTCGTACAAACTTCAAGGTCTACAGGCAATGACCAAAAAGTTGATAGAAGAGCTAGTGAAGACGGGACTTCCTTCAGGTGAACATAGAGAAGATAGAGGTGATGAAGATAGATACCCAAGCAACAACAGCATCAAGAAGAAGCAGCGATCACCATGAACGGGAGAAACCTAAATGAAGTGGTCTCTCTCACCTACCCGTCAAGGCAGCATCGTTTCAACTACAAGCAGTGGCACAGATGAGGATGTCAAAACCATCCAGGATCGGAAAGACAGCAAGACATGCTTTCACTAATCTGAGATCACTGTGCAGATCTACTGCACTGCACTGAGCACAAAGCGTGAACAAGATCAGGATTTTGAACACTAATGTCAGTGCTTCTATGTGATGGTTGAGAGACTTGGCGCGTTACGAACAGCATTTCCAACAAACTACAGACATTCATCAACAGCTGCCGCCTACGCTTGCTGTGTGCTAAAAATCAGGTAGATGGCTAGAACAATGGCTAGAATAATAATGAAGAAGGAAGTCTGGGAGCGAACGAACTAAGCAAGAACCCATGGCGAAGAAATATGCAGAAGATAGTGGAGATGGATTGTATTGGACATACAGTGAGAAGACCGACCATTTGGAGACAACACGCGTCAGGTGAGGCCGTCGAGTGGAACCCGCATGGGAAACGATGAGTTTGGTATTGGAGGCGAGGGTGACATGGAGGAGATGGTGTGAGGAAGAAATGAATGCTTGTGAGCAGGTAGTCGTGGAGCCAGGTCCAAAAGACAGTAGAGAACAGAGTGAAATGGACACGTGCTACTGAAGCTCTATGTTCCACTAGGAACCCAAGGGACAAGTAATGATAATAACACTTACATTTTTTGTGTTATCCCACCAAAGATAACTCAACAAACGTAGATGATCCATTATGATCCATACTGTGCTGGCATCTATCCTAAAATATCGCTGATAAGCTCCGGTTAAAAGGAGCGAAGTAATCATCACTTGGATAAACACCACCAAGTTACCGCGGAGAGGGAAAATCTGTTAAACATTGACTACTAACAACTCGACATAATTCAAATGTTAAATAAAACTTTTAACTTGACACTAAAGATACAAACAAACGATTTATAACATAAATGACAAATACACGAATACAGGTACAATCAAATTGTTTTTGAAAACAAAACTAAAAATTCACTTACACTTACTATATGTTGTTTTATCACCCTTTTGCGGAGAGCCAGAATCTATCTAAAAAAATAAGAACACAACAAAAAACGTAAAACCTATCAAAGGAGTAGAGAAACAAATCAATTTACTGTTTACTATCAAGATATGAATCTTTACTGAATTTCCACTGAAAATGCTTTATACATCATTGACAACTCAACCATTATTAACAAGCTCAGCTCAGAGGAGATTTACAGTTAAATACATACATATACGCAGGCTAATATATAGCTGATGAGGCTCCACTATCATAATCAAATCTGTATATTTTAGCACATGTGTAAACGTCGAAAACAAATAGTCACATTTCTGACAGTATACACTAATGCATAGATATAATAAAAGCGAACTATGTATAATTTGTTCAGCAAAGTTGTTTTATTGACTTTAAGTTGGTATTCACCATGGACTGACATCAGTTAGAGAAACACTGGAAACCTGGGAGAACTGGGAAACTGACTCATCGTAGTATGGGACTGCTCAACAGTGCACAACCACGACCCCGCAACACCAGGGATCGTACCCAGAACCTTCAAGTTCCGCAGTCAGCACGTTACCACTAAGTAGAAATCTAATGGTTCATATTTCCTGCATCTGTCAGTTCACATTATAGCACGATTTCTACTCAATGTCACCGTTGAATATCTGTCCTCATATCCGACTTGCTTGGCCCTACAGGTTAGGACTTCGGATTGGAACTTCGAGAGTAGTCTCGTGAAGCGAGTCATCAATGAGCGCCAGAATTATTCAATTTAGAGTTTTGCAGGGATTTATTTGTTGATTTCAGGTTGATATTCATCATCATTGAATTCCGACCCAATGGCTCAATGGTAATAAGAAGGCCGCAGAACCTGAAAGTCCTTGTTTCCATTATTGATCAGGTATGCACTGATGAGGTGTCCCATATTAGGAAGAAACACCTCCCTAATGCTCCCAGGTTTCCAATATTTCTTCAACTGATGTCACTCCATAATGAATACCAACCTGAAATCAATAAATAAATCAGCACAAACCTCTAGGATTGAAAGTTGTTCCAATGAACAACATACCTCAGTAACTTTTTATGCTGATAAATGATATCGCTTAAAGGGATACAAATAGGCAGATAACCCATTTGTATATAAGAATTCTTGAAGAATAAACAAAACAATTAGAATAATAACTAGTATTAGGTTTTCACATGATACCTAGACGTGTTACCAAAAGACACCATAAACTTAGTTAATAGGTGAAATCGGAAGTATAAAAGTAGAATATTCATAGTGACTTTAGTATTATCTACCTACTGTTGTTTTACCACTTCGATAATAAGAGAAAGGATGAAACGTGCTCAGCAACCACATGCACGTTCGTACAGTAAGTGATAAGCCAAACCTATAATGTTAAGATTTCGGTAGGTGGAATGGAGTTCAAATGCCATGACCGAGCAGTTGAAAGTCAAAGTACCTAGAAAAACGGGCCAAAGCTTCACCACTTGATCAATAGGATTACATATTAGTCATATATTACGAAAAATTTCACTTTTTCTCATATTAAGGGTTTAATCAAATGTTATTCAGTAAAATAACGAAACTAGAGGAAACAAGATAACTATATATTCATGCAAATGTGACAAGAGCGAAAACAGAACTCAGCGACTACGTGATGATTCATGAATTATGCAATAAAAAGTGCCCTATGTATGAGAATTAGTGATAATAACTGTTTGTCTATGCATCTATAGAGGGAGTGGAATTCACATATCTGGCTCACTGCCTAATTTAATTAATGTGAAATGATGGTCTCAGTTCAGTTAAGATGGTCTAGGCAACTATACTTACATATTTTCATACAGAAATAAAACATTTTCTATTAACTATGTATAATACACTTCTCATTGAGTCAGCTGTATTAATTATATCTAGTGTGCTGGTCGCAGGTAAGATCAAATATGGCAATATTTATCAAGAAATTGGTATGTACGAGTACTAATATATTTTAAAATATTTACGTACTAAAAACAATCCAACTGAGAAACTTTATACATAGCCAATGCATAACGCCATCAAAGAAACCATCAGCTGGTTGCTGCAATTGATACGAATGTAGCGAATCTTAGCCTCCGACAGCAGTTAATAGTTACACAGATATACAGTTAGCTAATTACATGCATATTTGTATATTACGCTTTACAGAATATCTATTTTGATGGACGATAATACTGTCCTAATTGAACTTCACTGGTTCAAAGTTCAATGTCTAAAACAACAAACCAGTTAATCCATTGTCTGAGTTCACTGATTCGCTATCGTAAATACAATTTGTTGCACGGAACGGATGTTAATATGACTGATGAACCACAATTCATTCTGATAAAAGATTTTAAAAACCAAATGTTTTCAGTTTCTTCCAAGTCTACTTTCTACTCATTAAATAAACATTCACTGCCGCAAAAACTATTGTATAACAACCTTTTTTATGAGGATCAAATGAAGTTAAGAATGACGACATTCAGTTTCGATGTATTAAAATTCAACATCCGACAAAGAAATCCAGATCATTTACTCAGCCATGAAGGAAACTTTATGCATGAAAACAAAAAGAACAGTATCCCAAGTTATCACTGAAATTATTCACGGCTAAATTTTACGGTCCAGTATCTTTAATCCATGCTGGTAGTGAATTAGAAAAGTCGGAGATTACGACCAGTTCCAGAGTATCGAACTTTCCTGCAGTTAAAGAAACTTTCATCAAATTAGAAACCACTACCATCAACATTAAAAATGATGACTGATCATGTTTTCGATAACTAAAATTCACAAAATGCTTGAAGGTTGAAAAAAAAGGTTCATCATGCCGAAACAATTAACGCAAATCCGCGCCTTAAACGGAGGGCCACGAACTATCAGTGACACAAATTATCCGGAAAAAGCCAAAGTCATGAACCCTATCAACTTGCTGAAATACGAGAAAGCCACAAAAACAGATAGAATTCCACCAGAAGCAACGAAACATACGCAGGGACAACACAAACAAACATGCTCACACCATCACTCCACAAGCTTCGCTACGAAGCAACGAAGGAAATGTACCTCCCCATTGATTGCAACAAGGGCTTCCTTCTCAAACTCCCAAACAACAGACACCACAGTCCTTGCAAGAACTCCCACGCAATCATACACCACTCCTCTCCACCCAAAACAAAAACAAACAAAATATTAAGCCACATCATACTAGAGAGATTGAAAAATACTCTGCATTCAAAGTTACAACCGAAACAAGCTGTTTCGCTAGCTTCAGGAAAAACAAATCATACGCGCATCAAACTCCAACACTACACTAAGCATCATCAGAAAACAGAACATAGAATTCAAGTCAACTCTTCACCTTACCTCAACTTCATCGACTGTCAAAACGCCTTCAACAGAGTCGACTGAGAAGTAATTTGGAAGGCAGTTCCCTCAACACTACCCTTTCAGTGCCACAAAACTTCATCAACTTCATTCAATAGCTATATGCTCTATCATCCTACATACCAAGTGATTTACAACACAATGCAAAGCTCAGTGACGCCTTTGAAGTGAAGACAGGAGTAACACAAGGCTGTCGTCTACTATCACCCATGATCTTCATGATTGTGGTCAACTCGACTAGACTGGACTGGATCATGCAACAAATTGTGAGAAGAGAGGCATACTCTGTTTGACCGATGAAAAAACCATAGAAGATCTTGACTTCGTCCATGATGATGATTTGTGTCTAGTGTCTTGTCGTACAAACTTCAAGGTCTACAGGCAATGACCAACAAGTTGATAGAAGAGCCAGTGAAGACGGGACTTCCTTCAGGTGAACATAGAGAAGATAGAGGTGATGAAGATACCCAACAAGTAACAACAACAAAAACAACAAGCATCGGTCACCATGAACGGGAGAAACCCAAATGAAGTGGTCTCACTCACCTACGCGGCAAGGCAGCACCGTTTCAACTACAAGCAGTGGCACAGATGGGGACTTCAAAGCGAGGATTGGAAAAGCAAGACAGGACTTCATTAAGCTAAAATCAGCATAAAGTACAAGATCTCGATTTTCAACACTATTTTAGTCAAATCAGTGCTTTTATGTGATGGTTGAGAGATTTGGAGCGTTACGAACAGCATTTCCAACAAACTGCATAGGGAGGAGTAATCGTTCAATGCAGACTAGGGTGGTTGAACACATACCCAAATGGCTAGAAAAACAGTTTAACACACAAACTTTGATAAGTGCAGGTGACAGACATCCATCGTCATCTATAGCAAAACATATCATTGAAATGAATCACAGGGTTGATACGAAAACAGCGTTTAAGATATTATACAGGAATAATCAGGGGCGCATACTGAAGTTTGTCGAAGCGTTAGCCATTTGTAAACGTAATCCCTCGCTGTGTGTACAAAAACAATTTGTTGTTTCACTTAATTTATCTTGGTAATCCTTATCTGATTAAATTACCAAGACTAGTGGTCACAACCTTTTCATTTTCATTATATTTGACGTTTAATTTTCATATATAAATTGACGTGACAAGTAAATGTGTGATCAGATTGTTCGAAATGTGTTGCGCAAATACAGCACATTTTTCAGATAATCTTCGTCTTCTAATAGCGTTATCGAAATTTATTAAAGGGACTAATTGCTTCAAGGTTGATTTACTGTGTAGTGAGTAACACCTAATGTAAGCCACTTTCTGATATCAGCTGATGACAATTAGCTCGGTTCACATCCATGACCCAATAGTCATCCGGATTTTCAACACCAATGTCAAGTCAGTGCTGCTACATGGTTCAGAAACTTGGCGTGTTACGAAAACCATTTCCATCAAACTGCAGAAGTTCATCAAAAGCCGCCGCCTACGTTCGCTCACTCTATACTGAAACTCAAATGGCCAGAATAATGAGTATAAGCAACAAAGAACTCTGGGAACGAACCAACCAAGAACCCATCACCCAACAAATATGCACAAGAAAGTGGAGATGGATTGGGCATACAATGAGAAGGCCGACTGGGGACATCACGCGCCAGGCACTCGAGTAGAATCGAAGGGGGAAACGAGAAGTTGGGCGTCCGAGGATAACATGCAGGAGGTCGTGTGAGGAAGAAATGAAAGCTTTTAGGCAGTCGTGACGCCAGGTTGAAAAGACTTCAGAGAAGAGAGTTCAATGTTCCACTAGGAACCCAAGGGGAAAAATAATAATATGACCCAACAATCGTGCTATTCAGATATTTAAATCAATGAACCGTAGTTGTACACGTAATACACATGGTTCAAAGCAATATTCACTGATTAAATGAATATATATGTGTTCTGTCTTCAAGATTTCAACATCGTATTTTTTAACCTGTCAGTCTGCTTCATACATCAAGATAGCGTAGAAGTATTTAATGACTAATAGTTTATAAATAAGGTGAAATGAATTACCTTCATTTGAGAATTCCATACTCCTGATGATGACATCAAACGATAATCATGTGGTGATGACATATTCATACTAGAATGGTTTAATGGACTCATTGAAGAATATTCCGGTGACTGGATATTTTCTTTTGAGTATATCTGATCCGTTTTATCCAGTATATGTGAAGTAATCAATCGAGAATGATTGATAGATGATGAAGTAGAAGGGATTGATGTTATAGTTGTAATAGTTGGTAAACTGGTTGTAAAGGAATATGGATTGTGATTAGATAAAGATGCATCTAGGTGCTGAACAATATGATTACTTTCTTTATTAAGACAGATATCATTCACATTATGTAAGCGATTATGCGTATTATTATCACTATTATTATTACTATTAGAGGAAGAAGAAGAAGAGTGTGTAGACACTAGTGAATTATTGACATTATTAGTTATTCTCAGCTTGACACTTGTTTCATTTTTTGGTGATAAATGAACTGAAGGTGAAAGATGATTATTTTGATAATGTGATTTGTAGGAACAAATTGAATGATGATCAGAAGGTTGTTGTTTCTTTGAAGGATGATGGTTATGATGATTATGATGATGATGGTGATGATGACGAAGTAGATCATTTGGTGTTGATGTCTGCGACTGAAAAGTTAAAGAAGTATTGGAGAAATAATATAATTATGAGGTCAATCAATATTATGATTTGCATAATCCATGTACTAAGTACGGCTTACGTTCATAATTACTGATACAAATTCTAACAGTACTAATCACTAACTAGCCTTTATAATAAATTAAAAAGAATTCGGTAACAATGGCACAGGTGCATTCACTCTTGATGAGTTACAAAATTTTGAAAATTCTATTAACCTTCACTTCATTTATTCCTTCTGCTTTCACATACTTTTATCTCCTTTAGTATCATCCTCTTTCTGTCAACTTTCTCTTTTTGTGATGCTTTGAAATCGCTGAAAAGTGTACGATAACATTGTCTAGATCCTTAAGAGAAGTCCAAAATCCCTGAAGTCTTTCCTAATCAATCATTTTGCTTAGAAGTTTCAAGAAAAATTATACGTGTAAATATCAGATTGATTGAAAGAGCAAAATCAATTGGGAATGTCTTTCTAGAAAGGTCTGGAAATGGTGAAAGCTACTGTAAACATATATAAAAACTGTTGTACTTTATACATGGTTCAACATTGTAATACACCTACTGTTACCGAGCGACCATCAATAGTACAATCTAAAGTGTACACTTATACAACAATGATTATAACAAGAACGATGCACTCCTGCACAACACTTTGAGCTAGGTTATCTATTTATCTAAGAATCATAAAACAGCGGTATTCTATTTCGATTTTATGTACACGAGTAATATATCATTACGACTTCCTTGAATAAACTCCGCAAAATAATGACACTGACATAAAACGATATTGCGAGTTAGCCTTCTATTAAATAGATTACTGGAGCAGTAACCATAAGCACGATGCTTTCGGAGGGAAAGTGTGCTTTCAGAAGCTGCAGAACTACTCATAAACTTGAAAAAACACAACATGTAGAATATGGTCAAGTCTGTTGCACATACATAAAACGTTGGCTACCGAGAGGATAACATCTACATTGAGTTCTAATGCATGTAAGCATTCAAAGTATTTTGAGTAGAAGATAACGTAACTTTTATGAACTAAAATTTCGCTACATTGATACACTTCACCAAAAAATATAAGCTGACTTGTCTAATTACCAAATCTTCATTACTACTCAACCTTTAAACACAGAAAAGTTAAAATGGATAAACAGAGGTGAAACTTACTCAAGGGCATAATACTTACACAAAATATAAGCCCCATATTCGCGTATGATGACGTCAAAAGTTGTGAAGTTTTGAGACATTATCAAATTTAGTAATAAATTAGGCGAGTATACCCCAACCATACGAATACTAATTAGCTAAATGAAATTAGGGACTAAACTGAAGAATTGAATAGGAAACTTTGTATAATGAAATATCTGCTTCGAACAGCCTACCTAATAAACACTTTCGTATAAATAATGATAAGTAGTGTTTTAAAAACTTTATAGTACAGAAATAAAAACAAAGAACACTTGAATAAAACAAAGAAAGATATATATCACGAAAGCATACGGAGAAATAGTAATACACACAGAGAAAGACAGGAATAATCCCAGTCAGAATACAACTCCTATAGTACACAGAGAAAAATAAAAGATACCAAAAACTTACTTCCAAATTAAATTAGTCTGTCTGATATATCACATAGTTATGTAATAGTAGTATCCACCAGATGATATTTCAAGCAGAATTTATTCCCTATACTCATAATCATACCTTGATCTGATTATGAGCAATAAATTCTGCTCACAATATCATCAAGTAAATAATATTATATCACTATGTACTATCTACATCAGATAATCTAATCTAATATGGGATTACATTCTACCACACTGCCCAAATTCTTATTTGATACTGCAAACATGTTATTAATACAACTACTGTGATTGGTACTTTTGTCATTATTTTCAAATGAAAGTGAAAAATAACAATAATGGTCATAAAATAATGACACTGGTAACGTAAATTTAGTACATGACAGTTAAGTGAATCAACAGATGAATGGGTAATTGGAATTATCATATTTTTGAAACATTTTAACATGTTTAAGTAGTGATCAAAGTACTATCTGTTGAAAATAATCACTCTCTGAACAGAAAATACTACAACAAACTATAAAAAGTCGAATTACGAATCTTATGTACATCTGATGGTTATATTGGAAAGTACAAGAGTCTATGATATATAATATACTCTCTGTCCGACTTGCATTTTGGAAAACGATGACTTCTAAGAACTGATACTGGGTTCGACCCCTTGAGGGATTGTGGGTGCGCGCTACTGAAGAGTCTCAAGCTAGAATGAAATAGGTGTCCATTGCTCTAAAGTTTTCAATGACTCATCAACTAATATCATTTTATGATGAAAACTGTTTTAAAACTACGAAATTCTTACAAACCAACAACAATAAACCGGCTAACTGAATAGTACTCTGAAGTAGGAAGTGATGAGCACTACATTAAATTTCATTATTGACGGTAGGTATGAAAAGGCTGCATTTTCGCATTACACTAGTGATCACCACTGTCCTTATAGTTTCAAGTTCAGTAAGACGTTATCTAGAACACTGAGCCTACACGGAATAATACTGCACACACTATCAGTGTTCACATTTTGTCTCAGTTCAAAAGATGCAGTTACATCAAAGATAAACACTCAACGAACAGTAGGTACATTCCTAATTAGATTATAAACAGATAATACATAGCTTTATCGATTTCTTAAAAAACACTTTTATTCTAATGAGACTATGGACTACTGTCATTTCTAATATAAAATGAATTAAACAAGTTGAAATTGAAACAGATTCCTCCACTTTAATCAAACACACTATTCAGAGTCAACCAGATCAGATGTTTGACCTGTTTTCAAAGAAAACTCTAACCAGGCAACCTTCATTATAAGTAACTTGAATAACGCACATCAATCAAATAAAATCCAAAACATTTCTTTGCACATAGGTGAAATGAAGGTATCAATCAAAGAAATCTCAATTACACTGGCATCACAAACAATTGAGTAAAACCATGATAAGATATCATGTACTCTACTCCATGACTAAATCCGAAGTTGCAAACCATCTGGCACAGAATGGTTTACAAGCAGTAGAGAACTCAATGTGAATATTCACACTCACTGAGTTACATGTGTTAACGCGTGTAACTCAGTTGGTCACTATTATTATTATTATTGTTATTATTATTATTATTATTATTATCAGAACACAAACATGGTACAGCGACGCCACCGACAAATACACAATATTAAATAATGTGACACTATTTGGAAAACATAAAGCAAAAGGAAGTGGATAAGTAAGAAAGAAAAACACAATAAGAATACAATGATTAGAAGGGAAGTCCAGTAACACATTAAAAACAAAACATTCATTACTTTTCAGCAGCAGAAGACAGAAGGAAGCTACAGTATGACCGCCACCGATTTCCATTCTCAACCTTATCTGATAACGTCCTGAGCAACTGAGTTGCATGGTCTCTCAGACCCCACCCACGGAGTCGTGATGCACCAATAGAGGCTAACTCAATGCAACTATCCTCCATCCATCTCACAGTGACACATCATACACTGACCACCCCTCCGCTTCTTGCATCCAGCTCCAGGGCTAGCAAACAATAAACAGTAGGCAAACCGAAAGATGATACCAGGTAACACATGTCCAACCCACCAAACCCAGTGTTTCCACATGACTTCACTTGGTGAATGACAATCTTCATCCTGTCTAGACACACGCTGTCGTACCTCACAATTACTTACGAGGTGTTGCCACCGGACACGAGCAATACAACGCAGACAACGATGGTTGAACACATAGAGTCGTCGCATATCCTCAGCTAGGAGAGGCCAGGTTTCACAGGCGTAGAGCATAACGGCTCACACTGAAGCGTTGTAAGCCTGACCTTTTACGGTCAGACTAACGTCACGATGGCGTCAAAGGTGGCTCAGATTGGTGTATTTCACTCTGGCTTTCAATATGTGGTTATAAACCTCATCACACACTTCCTCCAGCACTCACACAGCTACCCAAATACACGAACTTTTCGATTACTTGCAACAGGTCACCAACGAGCACATACACAGGCTCCTGTCGACCTTGCAAAAGTACTTTGCACTTCGGTGGTGAAAAGTACATATCGTACTCAAGGACACTGTAATGCATCACCTATTCACCCACCAGGTAATCTTTCTAGTAATTATGATTTAGTGTTCATGGAATTAATATTTTTGTTACAGCATTACAAGTATACTATTCTTCACCGAATAAAAATGAGAATAAGATGCTTCAAAAGAACAAAATATAATCATCATCTATATGCATACGTGCATACAAACGTGTACTACTATGATTATTATCAATATTATTATTACCAACATCATCGTTATCACTATTACCACCCCTTTACGTCATGTCTAATGCTTAAAGTGAAAAAGCAATGACGCTTTGAATTCATACAAAGTTAATGTCAGTTGGATTTTCAAAAAGCGTCTTATATCTATATGCATTACATTGTCCATTGTGGCGAAAATAATAGTGATAATAATACTGATAATGAAGATGAAAGAAATATTATGACGAAAGCAGAGACCATTTCAAAAGTAAAACAACAATAGCAGCAATACATACGCATTACGTGATAGAATTATAAGTAGATTTTGTAAGGACAATAGTTGGAGAAAGGAATAAATATAATGCGTAAATCATATTATAATTTTATGCATAAAAAGAATTAGTACGAAAAAGGTCACAGAAAAAAAAATACAAATAATTAAATACTCATGACTATTCACAGTACACAAGAGTACTAATGAATATAACTACAAATTAAATGCATAAAGACAGACAAATATAGTCGGGATTTTCTTAATGCTACTGGAAGCGTGAAGACAGTTGGTACTTCCTGGATGTAAAAACTATGAAGGCTGTTTCTGTTAGGCACCAAAAAGAAAAAAGTCGCTTAGTTTTGTGAGGCTACACAGTCCA